GCCCGCTGTTCCAGCGCCAGAAGGAAGAAGAGCTTGGCCACAAGCATGGGCCGTCGGTTTTTGGACATGTTGGAAGCCCTCTCCGAAACTCGGTGCTCTCGAATGAAATGGGTCAGGGCGGTGCCATGGCCCGACCAATCGGCTCACGTGCCGGCAGCGAGACCATGTCGGCACTCACACAACAGCTTCAGCGCACACGGCTGGGTGACGACGGGAGCAACAGCCCCCACTTGCATCCCTTGGCGGCAACGGGCCGAGCCCCGAGCAACAACGGTGCTGGGCCTATTGGCAAGGAACGGGACCGCGCGATGGAGCGTCATGTCTCGAGCGGCTCCATCAGCTCCTCCGTGACAGGACGATACACGACGCCCATTGACGAGGAGGATCCCGCATTCGTCTTCAACATGGAGGAAGAGGAAGATCAGTCGTCGTCGCGGCTCCGGAAGCGTGGCTCGGCCGGTTTTGGCATCGGTGGTGGTGGTGGATGGAGCTACGCCAACGCTCTGTCCAACAAAGGTGCTACCTCCGGTTCCGGCTTGGCCAAGGAACAGCGAGAGCCATCGGTCAGCGTTGAAACCGTTGGCGGGCGTTGATTGCTAGCTATGCTTCATGGCGGGTCGTTGGAAGGAAGTCTTCAAAACACCGGCAACTAGAAAAAGCATAGCGACAGCCTTGCAAAATGTCACCCTTTCAGTGGCATTCTTTTCACAACTCTTGACATTTACACCCTGACGACACTCTACGACACACACAACAAATACACATTTCAGCCACGATTTTCACAGCATGCATGGGCAAAAGCCAAACGGAAAACGAAAAATTCAACCGGTCTACAAAATCAATGGGACACGAGTAAGGGATCGGATCTACACGGTGGCTTGCTTATACAACAGGGGGTAGGGAGTTTGTTGGAGTTTTTGTCGATACCGAGTTGCTTCTGGCTTTTGAGGATTGAATATTGGAGGATTAATACTACCAACTGGCCCAACATAGGATGGTTTGCAAATAAGGAGAATCCACTGTCAAAATCTTGGGACTTGTGGTTTCCTTCGTCTTGCGCTAGGTGAAGTGTAGCCTGTCGATGCTTGGGGTAGGCAGGGAATCCTGGATACGTCAAGCAGAGGATGGCATTAACTTCTGATACTTGGCTAGGGGAGATGACACATGGAAGGAGGAAAAACATCTGGCTTTGGCTGGCACAAAAGTCACGGGTCGGCTGGCTGCGTGACTTGGCACCGCATTAGAGACGCCTGGAAGAGGAAAAGCAGATACCACCGTCTAATTTGCGTTCATTATATAAAAGCTGATTTCCTGAGAGACCGGCAATGACCGCACGAACGGAACTATTTGTTGAATGAAGTGCACCACAATCCCGATGCAAAACGTGTGACAACTTTTGTATGCATGACTACCATAACCCGGTGTGACCTTTACCGTGGTAAGGCCGGGTGAGCAACCGGCTGGCCCGCATTCCCCTCGCTGTATCTGACGATTCCGAGCTATTCCGATATCCTCAAACTACAACCGTCCTCCTTCTGAAGACTGCGGAGACCAAGGGAATTGAGTTGACATACGGTTGGGGCGGACGCAAGAGTAAAACGAACAGTCACGACGAAAACCCCGCCAATGGGTGACGAAAATCTATACACTAATACAAGGCAAACGTCAACAGAGCCCAGAGATTGTCCAACTCCAGATCATGTCGCGATGCCGTTTTTGCGCGGAGGCCGCGCCGTGGGCTATCGTACGGAACCGTCCACCCAACAAACACAGAAATAAGCCGGTATGCCTCTCGCTCTCTCTCTCTCCGTCCCTCTTTTTGCCCCCAATCCCGAAAACAAAGAGTTCCTCAAGAGCACAGACGCAGCGTCTTTCGTTTCCCTCTCGTTCTAGTTGCGAGTGGCGTGGTCGATGCCCGGAGAAGGACAGGTTATTGTACAGACCGCCGGGGAGACGGATTCGGTGGAGGAATGGAATTGGAATATTTAGTGGGCATCGGGCTGACTAACAATGTACTCGACCGCCTTGTCGACTGTAGATGGTGGATTAGTACTTGAACTACTCAAAGATAGGAAGGGCTGCATGGAGAACATACTCGAGTGGATGGTGTCGGCGTCCTTGTCGGGGATCTCGATGCTGAACTCCTCCTCAATGGCCATGACAACCTCGACGGTGTCCAAGCTGTCCAAGCCAAGGTCGTTGGCGAAGTGGGCGTTGGACTTGATCTACATTTGCGGACTATGGTCAGCTCTACTGTTCTTGCTAGCAATGGCAGCGCATCTCAATTGATGCGGTTGGGAGGTAGGTAGATGCTGGCAAGGTTTGGGTATAGCGAGAGGGAAGGGCGAAGGGCGAAGGACGAGGGACGAAGGAGGTGACGTACGTTGGCCGGGTCGTTGACCTTGTCGAAACCCTGGAGCAGAGCAAAGATGCGGCCCTCAACCTCCTGCTTGTTCAGGCCGGTAGCGGCAGAGTACATGCGAACGGAAATGGCCTTGGGAGCGGCGCGGAAGGCAGCTTGGGGCGCGACGAGGGATCTCCGGGCGAGGGGAGCGGACTGCTGGACGGCGGGACGGATGGCGCGCGTGGCGGCGGCCGCGGAACGGAGGACTGCTGTGCGGAACATTTTGAGGTATGTGTTTGGATGTGAGAGAGACGAGACTTTCGGGCGCTCTGGCGATTGGAGTTGGGATCGGGATAGAGGAGATGGGAGGATCGGTTGGTTGACGGCTAAAGCTGGGATTTGATGGGAGCTTCGGGGTAGTTAGCGGAGGAGGGTGCTGCGAGGTGCCAGTGATGATGATAAATTTCTCGTCACCCCCCGAGGTGTCCCTGGCTAGCTCTTGGGAGGTGCACGTGCTTAGTCATGTGATCTCGAGATCATCTTCATTTCGATGCGTCACCAGACCAGATGGAGAGAGTTGAATTAAAAGGGACTAGAAATAACTATAAACATCATGAGATACTCTCATACAATTTTATAACATCAATTGACCTGCACCGCCAAGTGAAGCCGTCATCGTCGACTCCGAGGAGCTTTTCTTCCGTTCCCTCCCAGTCCCGACTGAGCCACGTGACCCGCCCACAGCCAATCAATTGCCGCCCTTTGTAATCCCGCACCAAAGCTGTCGCCTCTGGCATGGCCGAATGTCCATAACGTCAAGCTCTCAACGCCGCCCCGGAACATTCTGCTCCCTCACCACACGCCGTATCCTCGCCCCTCCCCGTTCGTCGTCAACCCTCGATCCGACCCCGGAAACCCCTCCAATTTGCCCGGTCAATTGGCGCCGACGCATCTCTTTTCTTCCTCGAGGAAAACCATAGCACAATGCCTCCCGCGGCCCAGCTTCCCGTCACCATGTTGGCCCTGGCGTCAACGAGGCCGGTCGCGAGAAATTCGTCGGCCGCCATGCAGCACGTCGGCAGATTGATGGCTGCCAACGCCATGCGCACCTACGCCACGCCCGCTGGTCCCCCGCCTGCCAACTTTCGCATGAAGAAACATCAGACCTGGGACGAGGACCAGGAGTCCACATTGAACAAGCTTGGTCGTTATTTCCTGCTGTCCGAGATGGCCAGGGGAATGTACATCTTGATGGAGCAGTTCTTCCGCCCGCCCTACACCATCTACTACCCCTTTGAGAAGGTGAGCAAAACATTTTTCTCGACATTGGCAACCATGTTGGGAGACATAATGGAGGAATTGAGCATCAGAGGTGGATATGGGGTGGCGCAGACGGGGAACGCAGGAAGAGCCGGGCCATTGCCGAGACGAGGAGGACACGCATCGCCCGCTGTCACTGCACACGAAACCACGAATACAACGATGAAGAGGGGACTATTCGCGACAAAATAGACACATCGGAGAGCAAGCCGGCTAACAGGAATTTCTCTTTAGGGTCCCATCTCCCCCCGCTTCCGTGGCGAGCACGCCCTTCGCCGCTACCCATCCGGTGAGGAGCGCTGTATCGCCTGCAAGCTTTGCGAGGCCATTTGCCCTGCCCAGGCCATCACCATTGAGGCCGAAGAGCGCGCTGACGGCTCCCGCCGCACCACAAAGTACGATATCGACATGACCAAGTGCATTTACTGCGGTTTCTGCCAAGAGTCGTGCCCCGTCGACGCCATCGTCGAGTCCCCCAACGCCGAGTACGCCACCGAGACCCGCGAGGAGTTGCTGTATAACAAGGAGAAGCTGCTGTCCAACGGTGACAAGTGGGAGCCCGAGCTGGCTGCCGTTATCCGTGCCGATGCCCCTTACAGATAAGACTGGGTTTCTTTACCTACACGAAAGAAAGAAAGAAAGAAATTTCTCTGGTCGAGGGCTTGGTGGTGACGGTCGTGGTGAAGAGCGAGATGTCGAGGAATCACACCTTTTTTTTGCCTTTTTGCAACGTTAATGCTTAAAGGATGGACACATCGAAGCGGACGCGAGGGGACGACGGTCGCAGGACAATCAAGGGCCGCGGCAGCAGTGATCTTGGCATGTTGTGTATTTCTACAAACAGGTCGGGGTCGGTTAGACTTGTGTAAATATCTCTCGCGAAAAGCTACCTTTTTCTTTGTCTGTTGACCACCGTCGCCCCCGATCTTGTGTGATGGCATCGCAAAAGGCATCACGTTTACAATGTCATTGCGTTCCATGTCATTTTCTTCTTCATGTATGTCATGTAGATCCGCATCACGGTGGGACGGGGCGTTTAGGTTGAATTTCGAGATGATCATTAGTGCAGCTTTATCAACAATTGTCTCTACCAAGTGTTCATCACCCGTGACCTCGTGGGTTGACATTCATGGCGAGAAGATACAATCCAACCAACGCCTTGCTCTGATATCATGGGCCAAGCTTCAGCAACGCCAGCGACCTCTGAAATGACACGCTTCCGTTTCTTTTGTGTTTCCCCGGCTTGATACCGCGAGGATCCTTTCTTTCAACGTCTTCTTCATCATAGACATGGCCACGTCCTTTACATCCTTACGCCTCTACGCATATCTCACCATCAGAACGTCTTCTCCCAAGCCCCCCACCAAACACCCATGTTAGCGGCCACCACCAGATCCAACATCTTCAGCCCCTCGGGGTAGATGATCAGCTTGCCCAACTTGGCCCTCTTCCCCCTGTTGCCGCCCCCGGCCCTTTCCTTGCCGAGCTTCAGATCAAACGGGCTAGGCGGCTCGTCCTCGTCGCTATATTCGCCGTTCCGGTTGCCGACGTTGAGAAGCCGGCTAAAGTGCCCGCTCAGCTGCTCCCTCTTGCCCTCCTGCTTGAAAATCTCCGTGCTGGGCAAGTTGAATCGCAACTCGCTCACGCTGGCCGAGTACGACGACGAACTCGACGGCGCGAGCGGGTTACTCAGTCCGCCGGCTGTGGGCAGGACGTGTCTGCACTTAACACTACGTCCGGCGTTCCCCGTACGGAACTCACAGCGGCCGTCCCAGGGCGAGACAAACACATAACCCTGAGGCCGGAGGCCGTGGCCCGGCTGGGTGATGATGGGCCCCGAGTCGCTTCCGTTAGAAGAGACGGAGCCCGTCGAGTGTGCGCTCAACTGGCGTGAGTGGCGGTGAGTAGACCTCGCTGGCGGCGAACCAAAGGGGACTGAGTCGCCCTCGTCCATCAAGCTGCCTGAGCGCGACCGGGAGCTGAACTTTTCGCGAATGTTGGAGGACCAGGATTTGGCGTAGGACATGACGACTTGGCGTGAGAAGCCACCCTCGGGAGACTGCTGTTGCTGCTGTTGCTGTTGCAGGTGGTTGAGCGCGTCTTCCGAGTTGGCAAAAGGGGGAGCCGTTGTCGTCGATGTCCGTGGCATATCCACGCTCTGGCGCAGAGGCATGTGGCGGAACTTTGCGTAGCCCGAGGACTCGAGGCGGATGTTGATGGGAGGTTGAGGGGCGTTTGCGCGCCGGCGGTCGTGGGCTGAGAGGCCCGCCGAGTCGAAGGAGAAGTACTCGTACCCGTCGTCTCCAGAGTCCTCGAGCTGATGGGAGGCGACGCGACCTACGTTCCACTGGTTCCCCGTACTCGGGTCGCGGCGGATGAGGGAGAGAGTGTAGGGGACCTCCTTTGTGTTGTGGAAGCGGTTCGGTGAGGGGGAGCGAGATTGTTGGCGGTAGATGGAAGTCGGACGGGAGTAACGACGTGAACGCGCCGGCGACGAGGAGGGTTCCTGCTGCGGTGGCATACGGGACGGGGACTGGGAGGGAGAAGCGCGGTGGAGGTCTGTAGGAGGAGGCTGAGGAGGTCTGGAGGCAAAGGGCGCGTCGTAGTCGGGTGCCGGGGTCGGGATGGCTCGCGGGCCGACGGGTTTGCGTACGGGAGGGGCCGGGGGTGAGTGAGATGTTGGTCGCGGAGGAAGCTCCGGGCGGTCCTCTGTCCACCGGGGTTGACGGGGATCGTTGCCTGTGCCGTACCCGATGCCGTACCCCGTCGCATTCCCGGTGCCGTAGCCGTAGAGGCCGGAGTTGCGATTGCCGGCGGCCGCTGGATGTGAGCTAGGCGTCGGAGGTTGCGCCTGTGTTTGAGTCTGCGTCTGCGTCTGAGGAGGCAGATGGGCGCGGGCTGGATCGGCTGGCGGTGAGGGCACCTTTGAGCCCCCGACGGGCTTCCTCCGGATCTGAGCCGTGCTGCGGGTGCTATCCATACTAGACCTAGGCGTGTCCGGGTTCCGTAGATGGTTAGGTTGCTGAGATCCAGCTGCCAAGTTTGGGTGGTACGGGTGGCTGCCATCACTGGGCAGTTCCAGGTGGATGTAATAAAATGAGTTGGCGACATCTTCGCTGGTGACATTTTTGAGGTGAGGTTTTGAGGTTGTCAGAATGACGTCTGCAGGTTGGTGGTGCGTTAGAAGTTGTAATGGTGAGAGTTGAGTGCGAAACTGAGAGTGAAGAGATGAGAGAGACTTACCTCGTGTACCAGGTACACGTGAGATGTAGAGTGTGAGGGGATCTTGACGTTGCTCGGCCGGTTTGTGAGGGTATTGCGGGGGATTTGCGGCGAGGTAATTGAGCGAGGCCAGAGACCTAGCCTCAACTTGTGTAGACATTTTTTTTCAAAAGGATGAAGACTCTTTTTGTTCCGCTTCAAGTGTGCTCAAGCAGAGGGGCAGGAGGAGGTAGTCGTGAGTATATCTGGCTCGATGCAGGTCGGCGGAAGGATTCCCGGGTGGTTAAGTGTTTGTTGTGGTGGTGTGGTGGGTGAGTGAAAAGGGTGGCTGAGCCAAGAGGTGATGTGAGGCGGGAGGTTCACAGCCCGCCCGTACTTGAAGGGTACTCGCGGTACGGAGTATTCACTTGTGCCTTATGGATACTCAACTCAAAGGCCCAAATGCCGTGGACGATACGATGGCGATTTGAGCAGTGAGCGAGAGGGGAGACCAGGGAGCTGGCGCTGTCAAATGTTACTGCTGGAGCTGGTGTGGGTCGGGAAAACGGGGTTGTGATGGAGAGAGTTTGTAAAAAGGTTGAGCTTAAATGAGGGAAAAGATTTACTTCATCTGGTAATTCTCACTTGGCTCGGTCTCTCTTTTGTTCGGTTCGTAGGTGACTGGTGGTGGTGAATCTTTGTTTGCCAATGCGAGCGAGATTGGTGAGTGCGATGAATTTGGCGATGAGAATGTGAATATTGAATGCAGAGCGCTATAAAGAGTATCGCGTGGTTGGTGGTGGTGGATGAAATCTGAGCGAGATGTGATCGACCTGCAGCTGCAGGAAAAGTGGTTGGGGGTGTTTGAATTAAAGTCCGCGAGGGCTGGACGTGGACGCAGTCTCGCAGAAAGATGAGCAAGAACAGGAAAGAGGGGGCGAATAAGAGATACTAATATCGCGCGTGTTGCCTGGTGAGTACGCAGCGTATACGGGTATCTTTGCTGCTCGTTGCTCCAGATGTTTGCTCGCGTGTATTCGTAAAGAGTGGGAGTAAAGCGAGGGAGTGAGAAGTGGTTGGCTCGTTGTGCTGGCGATGAGGCGTACCTTACTTCGTACTTCTATTGTAAGTACTGTGAGGCGAGTCGACCCTCAAAGAAGAAACGAGAAAAATAGAAACGACGGGCAGGACAAGGGAAGCAAGTCCCCGGATCTGCAGTAGCGGCGCGGAAGGGATGTACGGGAATATGGTGGTGCCTGGCGAGCCGCAAGAAAGGGCCTGTCGTCTTTTCTCTTCTTCCAAGTTGGCAAGACAAACGCACAAAAGTTGCTGGGATGTGTCGGCACTGTTTGGATCGCTTTCATCTGCGGAGACCGACGGTCCCTTGGTAAGAAGCGTGGAAGCGAGCTTCTGCTTGATGTTTGTCTCTCTCTCTCTCTCTCTCTCTCTCTGTCGACACTTGGCGGGCTGAGACTTATCCAATGGCAAAAACGAGTCGTAAGCTGGATGTGGCTGTGCTGTGCTGCGCTGCGATGTGACCAAAAGTAGCGATATGGCGGCGCTGGTGACTTTGCAGCGCGGTGCCGTGTACGTGTCCGTTCCGTAACCTTGGTGATGAGAGGTCTTGAAGGTCTTCCTTCTTGGTGCCGGCGCCGGTGCGTAGTTATTTGATTCCTTCTGAAGCTTTTCTAAAGCCCGGGAGGGAGACTTTGCTCCCAATGCCGTGACGGGTTCGGAGTCAGCGACGGCACCTGAAAAGGCTGAAATTAATGACCTGGGCTTGACAGGGTCCAGAGCTTTGTCTTGTGAAATGAGAGTGGGCAGTTGGTGGTTTGTGCTGTTCTTGGCATGAGATGGGAAGATGAGGTTTGAGCAGAGGCGAAGATGCTCTGCCAACGATTTTGGTGAAAGCCAAGCTGCTTCCCCTCTTTTCACGTCTTGATGCTTCAGAAGTTCGGTCTGAACTTTGTATGCATCGGAGAGTTGTGATATGCATGGGAGATCTTCTCGGGAGGATTTTGGGGGACTCGGAGCGGGAAGAGAGGGGGTTTGTGCTATTTTTCGCATGCTTTTTTTTTTTTCGCGGAACTCTGCAGATTCCTAGTGTGAGTGACCTTCTGTGCACCAATACCTACACGGATAGCAGTAAGTGGGATGGATATACTATCTGTACGTACGCGACTACGGATACAGAGATCAGACAACGGCCATCCACCCTGCCTGAGAAGTGAGCAGTGAGCAGCCCTGCCATCTCGCATGCTTCAGCTCCTGCTTGAACTAGCGAGTGCCAGAGCTTGATCGAGGCTGTTTGTGCCCCGTGACTGGCTACGAAATGTCTCGCCTCCTACACGGGATGACGACCAAAAGTCTCGGGTTCCCTCCTAAGGGTCCCATGAACGCCTGAGATTGTCCATGACTGAAACAAAACCTCCAAAAGATCGTGCCGCAGCCGCATTGAATATCACTACCTAGTGGTCCATATTCCACACATGAGTACATATATGTCGATGAGGGGATGTTGCAGTCTCTAGAGGGTTACATTCCTATGCGGGTAGGGCCAGGAGATGCTGGAGACAAAGGGGCCCGAGCTGTGAGGAGCTTTCCATTACGAGGATGTCCTCTGCACAAGAGGTTTGCGGGCCCATTTGACTCTGACGAATAAGCATATCCGCATGAAGGTGAACGTCACTTGAAGGGCATCCACAGGCTCTTGGGAGCTGGGCAGTCAAAGCAGTCTCAATCTCAAGAGTCAGCTATCGCAAGGCTCAAACGGGGGGCATCCCTTCATCGGCACGCCCCATGCCACCCCCATCCCATGGAAGGCCTTGCGAGCCGTTACCGAACAACTCAATCATCTGTTAAGCACCTGCAAGTTCATGAGTGGCACAGTGGTTGCTGGAATGTGGCATGGCTGCACAAAGATTGGTTCAACAGCCAATGCCCGTATACTCGTACACACAGTCAAAAGCCGCCTCAAAACATCAAGCTTCACACAACTGTGACGCACCGCACCGGATCTTCGGTCGTGTCCACGTCAACTTCAAGGGTCTAGGTCCGCTGTGGCGTCGATGAGACTATACATACTGTGTAACTGTCCACAAGCGCCTGCGCATGCCGCGAGACCCTGGAGACGGCAACGTCAGAGACCCCGACGTTGCGGGTGTTATCCCCTGCGCCTGGGCCTTTAGCTGGCTGACGGTGCCGTGGGAATGTCAAAAAGACTTTACGCTGAGCCACACTTGCGCCCCTGGAGAACTCGCCGTGTGCCATCTTTGCTCGTCTCGAATGCCTTAAGTAAGCTGAGACTCTCCCCTATGTAGAGTCTAGCTTCGGCCCCTTCACTGACTCGGAACTGAACATGCTGCCGACGAGCGAGGCATGTCCTTGCCGGCCAGCTGGCAGGAGGTGGGAACTCGTCAACCTCAAAGGCTTGGGTCTCCCAGCTTCGTCTCGCGGACGTGGCTGACTGCTCACCTGTCGACCGTTCCAAGGCTTGATGCCCCCTTATTTCCGCGCCAGCCGTTCTTTCAGTCACTTTAGGTGCACCACCTGCGCGCACACGATCATGATCACAGTGGGCGACGTTGACGATGATGTGTACGAGGGAGGTTAAGGTTGATAGTGATGTCATTCACCCCAGCTAGGTGAATATCAATGGAGACGGCCAGCTGGGTTTTCTTGTCTCTCTCTGCGCGCATCTGTGCTATTTTTCGCATTGTTCGTCACCAAGGATGTTGATCCTGACGAATCCTATCATCTCACGCGATGAACACCTCCACTATCGCGGCCATCATGTGAATCCTCATCATCTAATGCCAGGGTGATAGCTTTGAGCATAGCCGGTCGTCCAAGTAAATCCTCGCCTTCTTGGCATGGATCTTGTAGTCGATTCATACTGTGATGACTGTGTACACATGTCAGAATGGTTGAGTTGTCAGCTACTGTCTGGTAAGAAAATCTGGCCATTGGCATCGTCTGCTCGTCATTCCGGACAATTCAACGGTCAATCCACGGCGATCTTGGGGTCCGGGAGATCCAAATAGGTGGGATGAAAACCCAAGCAGACGGCACGGCAGTTCCCAAGTTTCCACCGGACGCCAAGGTGGTTCCAAGACCGGTCCCGTCACCGCGCAACCAACTCGATTTGTGAAAAAATGGCCGTGTGCATGATGCATCCGGCCCCGTGCGTGCGAGACTACGGAAGACCGAGAAACAGAAAAAAACAGAGTTTCGGCACCCGACGATGCGAGGTTGAAAATCTGCCCAGCACCAACGTTTTAACTTCCTCTCTTGACTGATATCATTCTTTGAGTGCAAATCGAGTGCGAAAACGTCCTCTGAAAGGAATTGAATATTACCGGCTCGTTGGATTCATCGTTTCTAAACCTCACCGGGTGTTTTTCCCCATTCAGTCCTACTGGCTTTACCCCTTTGTTTTAAAGAAATTGGTTGCTTACGTCACATGGCGGTTATGCGGCAGACGCCCACTTACAACACCGGACTGCGGATAGTCCGTCGTATCCCGTTCGACTTTTCACTTGAGAGGGTCAGGGGTTCACTCTGTTTATCAGTACTCACTGCGATTCATGACTCTTTGCTCGTAGTGATGTGCTTGGCAAGTCAGTCGTGGGAATCGCTGCCACCAGATTTACCTCAAACGCAAACTTGACAGGCTATCAACCTTATATACTGCGTACGATTATTCATCGTCAGAGCCAAAGGCCAAGGCATAGTCCTTCAGACCAGAATGTAACATGCCCATTACTGATAATTGATCGAATACCACGCCGATATCCATGGTCCCTGCTGACCCAAGAGCCGCGCTACCACTGGTGGGAGAATGTACGACTCCAAAAGTAGTTTGGCTTCGTGACATCGTGGTTCGGTCCAACTGCCGACTTGGCTTGTGGAGGATCCCAAAGAAGAATGTCCCCTTCAGGATGTCCCAGCATGAAGCTTAAGTCATGAGCCAGCCCTCTTCGGACTCGCTTTCCTCACTATGGCTAAACGTCAACGCGGGAGAAAAAGGTCATTCGCCTAGGAAGCGCAAGATCCATTGTATATTGATTCTAACTTTCTAGAGTCTCCAAGTAAGAGTGTAGTATCCGCCATAAAAGCCTACCTTGAGACTTTTTGAAAGGGCAGTAATTTCCCGCCTATCGTACTCGGTTTGCCGCCACTGGCCCGACAAGTTGGGCCTTTGGAAGCTATAATGGTCTCAAATAAGGGGCCACCTTATTCCAGACTCGGCCGAGCATGGCAGGGCTCGACTCGGCTAGTGTTTCCAACAAACAACTACAACGCCATTTTTGGCCCCTCTTTCACGACGATGGACCAACAGGAAAGATTCTTCCATCGAATCCAACGATGTTCCTCCGGAATTTTTACATCCCATGTTCTCGTCGTCCGAACCGATCCACCACTCTACTCCGGGCCCCTCAACGTAGCATCCTCTGCCGTGACCCTAGTCTTGGACGACAAACATACGCGATGGACTACTCCGTGTGCTACCGTACCCATCAGGAATCCGAATGGAAAACATCCCCGTCCATGCCAAAGTAGGCGGGCCAGAACATACTCCCTCTCCTTTTGGGAATCAGCTGCGTTGCATCAAACTCCTCTCATCTCGTCAAGCGGCTCCCACGCTAGGAAAGTTGGGGACTGAAAGGCCAAGACTCTGAATGTCCTGTATAAAGATGCCTCTCCTCGACCATCGGCCTCCGTGATCTTGGTTCTATTCCTCAGCACATACGTTCACTTCTTCAGCCCTTTTTACAAACCTTTTACATTCGTTCTCCAATCCAGTCCTTCGCTTCAAAACAACCCACTACCGCAACCATGCAGTTCGCTACTTTCCTCTTGGCCGCCCTCCCGGCCACCACCATGGCCTTCCCCGGCCTCTTCCGCCGTGAGGAGCCCTCCAACAACGTCGCCAAGCGCGACTCCTGGGGCGGCGCCGTCTCCCTCGGCCCCACTACCTCCACCATTATCAACGCCGTCACCTACCTGACCCCCGGTGCCGCTCCTCCCACCCAGGCTGGTGTCCTCTTCCTCTGGCCCGGTATGTCCAACGGCACCGGCAACCTCGTCCAGACCACCCTCGAGTCGTGGCCCGACAACAGCTGGTGCGGTGCCGTCGCTGGCGAGTGGTGCGTCCGCGCCTCCGTCTTTGGCTCTTTCGGCCAGATCGACAGCGAGACCTCCGCCCCCGTCAAGGGAACCCAGAAGATCAAGATCGAGTACGACCTCCTCGACGACAACGACACCTGGCGCCAGACCGTCACCGACACTGCCACCAACAAGGTCATCAGCACCCTCGACCACAAGGACGGCCCCTTCATGAGAGGATACGGAACCGGCACAGAGTGCAACGACGGCTGCACCGGCACCATTGCTGAGCAGATCTACTCCGACACCACCATCACCCTCTCCAGCGCCGATGCCAACTTTGGCAAGACCATTGGTGTTAGCCAGGGTGCCACCTACACCGGTCTCGCTGCCAGCAACGGCAACAAGGTCTGGAAGATCGCCACCATCAAGGTCCCCAAGATGCAGTAAATGCGTTTGCAACTTGGCCTGTGGCTACTACAAGAAGAATTGGTTTCACTGTACATACTACATAGTCTTTGACAGACTAGGAAGATCGTGCCCATGGCTGCTTCCAGGTTCCATAATTCAACCTCTTGCCATGCAATACTTTGATCCATTGCTGTGACTTTGTGACGTTTGTCGACAATACGCCAACATTGAGAACAGACACCATGGTATATATTGAACGGGAGATAATAGTTGAATCGCATGAATGAAGTGTAAAATAAGCTTATGCTGTTTACCCCGGCTGCCCGCGCCAAACTCAAATTAAAGTTTGGGAAAGAGGATGTGCGCTGGTGATAATGTCTGAATTGTGCTTCAATGAATCGTGTAGGTAGTGCTTTGGTATCTCGAACAAAGGCAGTTTCGCAGATAACTTGTTTCCAGGATTCGGGATTCAGAAAGCAGATCACCTTGCAAATCTAAAAGAGGACTTCTTGCTATACAGCGGCGTGGACAATGTCTTTCCAAATTTCTTGAAAATAATGACGATGATGCGAAGAATTCGAACCAGTTTTCTAACCAGAATGAGAAGTTGCCGAATCAAGGTCTTTGTGTTACTCATAATAAACTTCGTAACGAGTACATCTTTTTTACTATATTATGCGTATAGATTTGCAATATTTGTATTGAGGCTTATGTTCCAAGTATAACGGCATCACAACAATGAGTTGGCATGAGAGAATCATACCTTCAAGAGTTATTCAGTCTATTCTCATTAGTTCAGATAAAATAAATTTCTAACTCGAAAAACACACTCAAGGGCAAAAATTAAGATTAAGTCCAGAGCACCAATCACTTGTATCAACTGTTTGATATGCAAATAAACGGAGATTGCAATCAACTCAGAAAAATAGGCTCAAGCAAGATTATTCAAGTTCGTCTCTGATAAAAACAAGACGGCTGTTGGGAAACCAGATAATATGCCTGTGACATCTTGGTTGGCCACGACATTTATACCAACTTTTGTAACCACCCTCCATCATTCATCTATGCCAACAAGAGATAGTCTAAGCCACAGAGCAGATTGATTGGATCTGGTTACGTGCTACTTTGATGATCACATTTGTACGAGTGATAAGCCCAGGCTGAAAGCCAACGTGCAACTTTTTGCTACCATGTGGTTAGACTCGACGGATGACTTGTACAGCAATGAGATGTCTAATGACAGTTGTGACTGAAATCATTTATTTCAGAGTCTTCAAATTGAAGACCCTTTCGCCATGCTCTATCTAGGCCCTCAAAAAAAGGTTGCCGTTGATGTAAGTTATCGTTATCTCGGCATCTCGGTGTAGTGGTGAGGCACCTCACCTCGGTGTGGTGATATGCACGGTCAGCGGCCAAGATGTCGTCAGACCACTAGCCGGTACGTACCGTTCGGCTTTCCAGAGGCTCCACACCCCGCGATCTCGGACGCAGGACTGCACCTGCACGTCAAGCTTTCCTCCAAAAAAAAAGTGTCCGTCCAGCAGACAAACTCCAACAAGCTCCGCAGATCCTCCTCCAAAATGTCGACCGCGACGAGTGCCACCGCGGCGACCAAGGATGAGTCGCAGCCCGTCAAGAAGGGCGGACCGACGGTCCTGCGATCCATTCTGGCTGGATCTACGGCCGGCGCTGTTGAGATTGGTGAGTCCCTCCACTCTTTGGGGTCCCCCGATGACGCACCAGCAGACAACGAAGACAGGAAGCTAACTGTCACGACACAGCCATCACGTACCCTGCCGAATGTAAGATGACCACGACCGATCTCCCGATTGCGATTGCGATTGACTCTCTGACCCTTCCTCGACAGTTGCCAAGACCCGTTCGCAATTGAACCGAAACCTGGGTGCCGGACAGAAGCTGCCGTGGCCGCCATTCGGAGCGCAATGGTACGCGGGATGCACCACGTTGATCATTGGCAACTCGCTCAAGGCGGGCATTCGTACGTGAATCAGCTATCCTGGGGCAATTGCCTTGTGCTTGCTGACCCCCGATGTACAGGATTTGTTGCCTTCGACCAGTACAAGACGCTCCTTTCCGACGCCGACGGCAACATATCTGGCCCGAAGACGGTCATCGCCGGCTTCGGTGCCGGTGTGACGGAGTCTGCGCTTGCTGTCACTCCTTTTGAGAGCATCAAGACTACGCTGTAAGTCTTTGACTCTGCTACATCAATGGCACCTCCCCATTGCTGACAACGCGGCCGCAGTATCGACGACAAGAAGTCAGGCAAGCCCCGAATGAAGGGTTTCCTCAGCGCCGTCCCCATTATTGCCCGCGAGCGCGGCCTGCGCGGATTCTTCCAGGGCTTCGTGCCGACGACAGCCCGCCAGGCGGCCAACAGCGCGGTCCGCTTCAGCGCGTACAATGCTCTCAAGCAGATGGCCGAGTCCTACACGGCCCCCGGGGAGAAGCTGGGCGCCGTGGGCACGTTTGCCATGGGCGGTATTGCAGGATTGATTACGGTCTACGCCACGCAGCCCCTCGACACGATTAAGACGCGCATGCAGAGCATCACGGCACGACAGCAGTACGGCAACTCGTTCCGGTGTGCAGCCATGATTCTGAAGCAGGAGGGTGTCTTGACGTTGTGGAGTGGTGCGTTGCCGCGTTTGGCGCGTCTTGTGGTGAGCGGTGGTCTTGTTTTCACCATGTACGAAAAGAGCATGGACCTCATGAACAAGGTGGACCCTGAGGGAAGATACATTTAAGAAGGATGTGCTACAAAATGCAATGGCGTTGAGGTTCTACTTTGTTTTTGGTATAGATAGTTACACTATACAGGGTACAGATTTTGTACAAGATATGGTACATAGGGCCTTGACAGTTATGTCAAGCATGCCCATGCTATTTAGATGGCTTCCTTTTCGCTGTGCGACGCCATTATCGGTGGTGCGTGTGTGTGTGTGTGTGTGTGTGTGTGTGTGTGTGTGTGTGTGTGGGTTGTAGTTTTGTTCTTTTTGGTGTTGCTCCTTGTGCCATCATCATTGAAGTCTGAACATGCCTGACAGCTTCTTGGACATGTTTTGCAGCCATCCTCGTGTCGGGGCCTCCTCGAGCTCTCTCAACAGGTCTTGGAAGTATGTCGGCTGGCTTTCGGGCTTCAAGAGTTCGCCATTGAGGGGGAACTACAGGATGTATATTAGGGATTTGCGATTAGGCGAGGCCGTGGGTTGGTCCAGCTTACCCTCTTCTTGAAGCGATCGTCAGTGAGGGCGAACATGGCGTTGGCCTGCTTCAGCTCCTTGGCCTCGTTGACGACATTGGGCTTGGTATACCTTCTCTCGATGCCTCTCTGGATGATTTCGCTAAATTGAGTCTCGGGACGGAGGTTGTCCTTGGGCCACAAGGCAAGGGCAGACCTCATGTGCTTGTACGCTTGCTGTGGAAAGAGGATGTTAGTGACGGTGACGGTGGACGGGATGGTTGGTAGGAAGGGCGGAAAGGGAGGCAGAAAGGAGAGACATACACTCGTTGTGCGCGACATGGCGGCGATATTGGAAATAATTAGAGAATGGAGGTGAGTCTACCGAATGCCGTCTACCTTATCATGGTCTCACCGCGGGGCAATGAGGCAGCAGTGGTGGATAGAGGGGGTGGGTGCGGCGGTGGAGGGCAAAAGTCGCGGTAGCTTCAGAATCCCATCAACGACGTCAAGGATTTTGCATCAGATGGCAGGCCCGGCCGCAGACGTCGAAGAATTCATTTCGTCGGAGCTAAGGGACTGCGCTGCATCGGCGCTTACCGAACTGATCAGAGTGGAGACGAAATCGCAAAAGACGTGAATGACATTGGGTGGATTATTCAGATGACTGTGATTGGAGAAAAAGATCTCGAGTGGTCAGGGGGTCCGATGGGCCGAAGAGAGTGGGACACTTACGCATATGGGGCTAGTACGCTGGCTTACCTTATGCGCATGACTCTTGCCTGAGGCATGAAGCATTGAGCCTAGTTCATCCTAGTTCATTCTGTCCCTTCCATGTCTTTGTCAGCACTCAGGCCACCAAAGAGGCAGCCGTTAGCAGTCACCATTGTGGCAGATTCCCGTAGCGGACTCGGAGCAACACAGAATTGAGCCCCGTGCCCCCTCAGTCTCAGCAGTCTCAATTTGTTCCAGTACATTCCCGCGGATGAGGTACGAGTACGTAACCCCCCCCCCCAAACAGTGACAATGAGAATCGTCTCCACCTCCACTGCCACAGGGGCTTTTTAGCGTTAGAGCCGTACTTATGTACCTTAGGTAATTCACTTCACCGCAGCGAGACGAAGCGAAGCGAACCAGCGACAGACAACGCCCGGTTCGTGCGACAATCCCGACACTCCTGACCTCCTCCTGTATTCGTACACCACCTTACCTTGCACTTCGGTATCCTACAGCGTACTGCTACGCCTGGACTGACTCTCCGACGTTCATCACCGCAGACGAACCGAGCCAACGTTGATGGCGTAGTCCTTTTTCCTCCGAACCAGCACCCTTCTTTTCTTCAGCACAACACCACCATCGTCGTTCCTTTTTGTCGCCTCACCCCTCCGATTTCTCCTACGATCCTCGCGAAACGATCTCTCGCCTTTTTCCCTTTCATTTTCCGCCTGGTTTCTTTCGAACAACCGCCCCCGTATTCCCGACTTCTCCTTACCTCCAACGCCTCTTCCCCCCAAATTACTACACAGCACTAGCCACCTTCTCCCCCCCAGTGGCGAAAGGGGCGCCCGGTTTCAAGACAACGAAAATAGAGAGAAGGAGAAAAAAAAACCAAAACATTACACAACATTCGTCAACATGGCTGGACGTTATGAGCGGGTATGTTGTGCCCCAAAAACCGGACACTTTTCTTATCCATTCTCGTAATGGGTCGCTGACAGTGTACTCTTTGCAGGTAAACGCCCAAGACGAGGACGACTTCAATAGCCCCAACTCCGCACCGCCAAGTCACGCGCAAACTGTGCCAAACTCTCCGCCCCCGTCCTTTCACTCGAGAGCGTCATCGCGCGATCGTGCTGCCCACGGCGTTGACTCTACCCTGGCCGACGCATTCGATACCGATGGCGACGAAAGCGATGACGACGCCGACGACAGGCAAAGATTAGTCCGCGCCGACTCCACCCTGACCTCCCGCGACACATCCCGCACCGTTTCCTCCGAGTCAAGACCCCAGCCCGATAGGCAGGTCACCCAGCTTCCTCCCACCACTGCATCCGCAGCAGGCGGACCTACGACGCCGTTCCGCATCTACGGTAGCGGTATCCAGAATGAGGGCGTCTTTTCCAACTTGACGGCGAAGCCTGAGCGGGGAGGCGAGACGAAGGAAGAGCAACCTCCGGTACGTTCAATCCACCACCACCACCACCACCACTTTCCATGTCTTGTATGCGGAAAGACGGCATACATTGTCCAAGAAAACGATATACTGACCAGATGTCTAGACATATGAGCAAGCCGCTGCTGATGCGGCACCCCCTTACTGGGAGACGACTATCCTGGCTCCAGGTCTCGGTGGACCCGACGAAGTCTACATTGATGGAATGCCCGTCGGATCTCTCTTCAGTTTTGTCTGGAACGGCATGATCTCCATGTCCTTCCAGGTTGTCGGCTTCATTCTCACATACCTCCTCCACTCGACTCACGCGGCCAAGAACGGGTCCCGCGCCGGTCTGGGCATTACGTTAATTCAGTACGGTTTCTACATGAAGGGCACAACAGAGGGCGACCACCCACCCAAGATGAATGGCCAAGACGGATACGCGGCACCACCAGACCCGAACTCGCACAGCTTCGACCCCAACGCGGTTACGGGAGAGGGCGGCGGCGGTGTGTCGGACATTACGGGACAAGAGTGGATTGCATACATTTTGATGGTTGTCGGATGGTTCGTCCTCATTAGGTCTGTAAGCGATTACCTGAAGGCACGGCGCCACGAGCAGCTCGTCTTGCAGAGCCCCGACCGTGGATTGCCTGTGCCCATCATCGCAGATGGCGAGTCGTCCGAGAGAGTGGTATAGCATTGGCGTTTTCGTGTGTCACAGCGTGACGAAGCGCAGTTGGGCTTTCTTCTTGTTCCAAAGTGGTTATTGGTCTGGGCCACGAGTCTACGACATTTGGCATCTCGCGCCTTTTCTTTGCGTCGTCCAGTGGGTTTTGGGTGTTTTACGGGAAACGGAAATGGGAGCAGGGTAATCTACATAGGAAGCACAGCAGCAGCTTTCATTCTCGGCATCAATACTGAGGTTTTCTTGGGTACCTACCATCCTTCGTGTTTGATCATCTCACACATACCCGTGATACCGGAATGCCGTCCTTCCAGATACTACCGAGGCATTTCGTATGGTGCTCCTTGGATTCCACAGGGCGCAAGAGACATCTTTTAGTGCTTGCAGCGGGATGATCCGCTTAGTAGGCGGGGTCAACAAGAGAGTTTCCAGGTTACCTTATGAGCTCCCACTTGCCCGGGCAGTCTGAACTCACTCCCCTGGGTCGCTTATCGACAAGGTTCGAGAGCGCGGGGGATCAACCCACCTCCACCACATTCGCGCCCTACCAGGCGCTGTAAGGTAGCTCAAGCTGTAGCGGTGCAGACATGCTGAGGTGTGTTCCTTCATGCTGAAAATGCAACTGAATCACCGTCACCTTTGATGGTCATTTCTGATCTTTACAATACACTCACTGACCTTTCTTCCTGGAAACAACAACTTCTCGCGTGACCTCTACCCAGAGAATTCTTCACCTCCCTCACCCAACAAAGCAAACCAACAGTTCACCACTAAAATCAAGCATAGCACCCGCCACAACGAATACCAGACGCCCTTTCATCCGGAGAGCTCTCCAGCTCCTCCCGAGCTCAACACCACGACAGACCCCTCGCTTTCTACACCAAACCCCCGCTCCCAACTACAAGATGGCCTGGCGAAGCTCCGGCGCGACAAATAAAGACCTGGTCGAGAACATGTGGCGTCACAGCCTCATCAAGGACCAACGAGTCAAGGACGCCTTTCTCAAGGTACCCTTAGACCTTCAAACCTTTCCCCTAGTCACTGCCAAAGTAACCATCTCTGACCTGCTACCTAGGTTGACCGGGCACACTACGCTCCCGCTGCGCCGTACGAAGACTCGCCCCAGTCCATCGGCCACAAGGCCACCATCTCGGCACCTCACATGCACGCCAGCGCCACCGAGTCTCTCCTCCCGCATATCCTGCCCTCCGCAACAAGGCCCGCTCCGCGAGTGCTGGACGTCGGTTCCGGATCGGGATACTTGACGCACCTGCTTGCCGAGCTTGTGGGGGATAAAGGGCTCGTCGTTGGGCTGGAGCATATCCAGGCGCTCAAGGATATGGGCGAGACCAACATGGCCAAAAGTGCCGAGGGGAGAGCACTCCTGGACAGCGGCAAGGTCAAATTCCGGGTTGGTGACGGACGGAAGGGCTGGGTGGAGGCGCCGCGGGATGGGGAGACGGGGGATTCCACGGGGTGGGATGCCATCCACGTTGGTGCTGCTGCGGTGGAGCTTCACCAGGAGTTGGTGGATCAGCTACGGGCGCCTGGGAGGTGAGCTGGGCGAGCGTTGGTACCTGATGAAATAATACTGACTTATAGACAGGATGTTTATCCCCGTCGAGGACGACACTGGCTACGATCAGTACGTTTGGGCCATTGACAAGAAGGAGGACGGGTCCGTTGTGAAGGAGAAGCTGTTTGGGGTTCGATATGTGCCACTGACTGATGCTCCCAAGGCGTGATTTTACGATACCGAGACACGATGCAACGTTGATGTGCGATATACCTCATGAACAATGATACTGGTTTCATTCTCCTCTTTCAACTTGCGTGCTGGGAACACCACATTAACAAGTGAGATATAGACTTACGCTGCATATCATATATTGCCCGATGCACGACTCAATCGGCCTACAGAGCGTTCATATCCGTAGATTTAGTATTTTGGCGGGTGTTGACCCTGGTAAATAGCATCGAAAAGTGCCAGGGTTGCTCTAATGGATCCCAGAGACAACTGATCTGTCTAGGGCCTGCGGGGATCTGCGCTGCATTAGTGGCCACCAGGAACACCGCCAGCAACATGCCTTCACCTCCGCATCGGCCAGGCCATATCCTGTGTAGTACAGACACAGAGAGACAATGAGACTCTTGGAAACTGCCCACGGGTCACAGCCACTCGGGAACTTCGTCATCTACGAAGGAGACAATGCGCCAGACTTTGCCATTCTCTCCCACACGTGGGGAGCAGAGGAGGTTACACTGCAAGACGTGCACGATGCCCAAAAGAACATCAGACTGATGGCCGGATACCCCAAGATCACGGGAGCCTGCCGACTTGCCCAGAGTCAGGGGTACGACTACATCTGGATCGACACGTGCTGCATCGACAAGACGAGCAGCGCCGAATTGTCCGAGGCCATCAACTCCATGTTCAACTGGTACGAGCAGGCTAGTATTTGCTACGTCCATCTCTCTGACTTGGACTACTCGATATACCAGCAGCCAGGCATGGCTGCCCCGTTGGAATTGGCGCTGCGCGAATGTCGCTGGTTCACTCGCGGCTGGACACTCCAGGAGCTCATTGCACCCGACAACGTCGACTTTTACGACAAGCGCTGGTATCTCATCGGCTCCAAGCTCGACGAGTCACTCGGTCCCGTGCTGGCGACCGTCACGGGAATCAGTCTCGACATCCTGAACAAGACGGTACCCCTGGAGTCGTCGAGCGTCGCGGAGCGCATGCACTGGGCTTCGTCAAGAATAACAACCCGCAAGGAGGACCTGGCCTACAGCTTGATGGGCATATTTGGCGTCAACATGCCGCTGCTGTACGGCGAGGGGATGAAGGCTTTTGCGCGGCTGCAGGAGGCCATACTCCAGGATACGGGAGACCACTCCATATTTGCATGGCATAGCAACTACGAGACGTCAATGCAGGAGGCGGCGTTTGACCAGCATATCCTCGGCGGCTTGCTGGCTCCGTCGCCGGTTGAGTTTTCTCAGTTCCAGTACCTCCGGCCGTTGCCGGCGTTCGGGACGACGGGGCAGCAGCCGATTCAGCTTACAAATCAGGGGATCAGGATATCCATGTACCTTGAGCCCGTGGACGATGAGCCAGCCGGCGGCGGCGACGGCAGCGCGGCGGACGATTTTTACGCTGTTTTGGACTGCGCTATCCAGGGCGAGAACGGGGATCAGTGTCCGCGCATCATGTTGAGGAAGTTATCGGGGAACCAGTACGCCCGGGTCCGGACGGGGAGCGTCTGCACGGTGATCCCGGCGCCGGATTCGACGAGGCCGGGGCGGGGAAGCTACAAGACTGTCTTCGTCAAGCGGAGCCCGGCGTATGTTTTACCGGATATCTCTGTCCTCAAGGCGGGTTGGAAGGCGGGCGGCGCCCGGGAGGCGTTTCGGGTTGTTGATTCGTATCCTACGGGGCCGTGGGTGCCGAGTCTGGGGATCCTGAGGACAGGGAACCCTTACTTTGAGCCGGTGCTTGCTGGGCTGCGGTTTGAGTCGCCGACAAACGCGCGAATCCAGGTTGATGTTGTCGTTGGATGGAGGAGGGCGGATGGGGAGTGGAAGGTGTGGTGTCATGCTTGTGAGACGCAGGCTGATTTGGAGGTTGATGTGCTGTGGAGGGACACGCAGTTTGCTGTGTCTGGTGGGTTAGATCAGTTTGCTGAGACGGACGTGGAGGTCACGGTCAAGGTTGGGGGAGATGTTGAACGGAATTGGAGGAGTGGGGGTTTCGCTCAGGTCAAGAGGCATGAGGTTCCTGTGCGCGTGAGGTTGGTGGAGGTTGATAGGCTTGGGAGGAAGGGGGTTAGGATTGAGTGTTGTGCGCCGTTCCAGCCGCATGTTCCTGGGTATCAGAAGACGGGGCTTTTGCCGTGGGACGAATATGATTGAAAGACAATGAACTTTAGATGCAGTGACTGTGATTTCACAAAGAGATGTCGAGGTTGAAGTGTTAGTAGTTATAAAGTGCGGATCTACTAAGGACTTGGATTATGAATCCTCACGCCTGATATTATGAGACAAGCATCATGCTAACATGTCAGCAGTCACAGGTTAATACAAGACGGCGATGCTTGAAAGGGGAAGTGAAAATATTGGGATGTGAATGGTAAAAAGTGACAAAACGAGGGCAGGTTCCCAGACCATCCACTCCTCGGCCACGTCGCAAAAAGGACGCACGCAGCCTACCCATCCAGTAGCAACCGAAAAACGTCTCATAAATCATACACATTGTTTCAAATCTGGTTCTGTTCTTCCTCCTTGGCGGCATCCGCCTGTCTCGACTCCATCACCCCGCTCAGGTGCGTATACGCTATTACAACATTGCCAATCTGCGGCATGTGCTTGATGCTCAAAAACGCCTGGCCGTGATCCATGCCGGCCAGGTACATGAGTTCCAGCTCCCCTTTCCCGCTCCACCTCTGAGGCGTCGTCGCCCACTCGGGCTTGTCGTGTCGCGTATAGTTGAGGTCGCCAAAGTAGACGTAGCTCGCCACGGCGTCTGGATCGGTGACGCAGTCCTCACCGCCGAGGACGACGGTGGTACGCTTTCCTTGTAGCTGAGGCGTCCAGAGGATGAAGTCTTGCCAACGGAAGCGGCGGGCAAGGGTGTGTGCAACCATGGGGTCTGTGGCAACGAACCAGATTTCCCATTCGTTGCCCCATTTCGGTGTGCGCCGCGTAAAGTTGTAGGCCACGGCGGGGAGGTGGAGGAGCAATGATACGGGGTCGATGAGGACGATGGAGTTAATCTTTGCCGCGATGTCGGGTCTTTGTAGCAGCGGGGAAACGAAGAGCGTGCCAAAGGAGTTTCCAACAAAGACAAAGTCATTGTAGTTTTGCTGTTTGATGATAGCGTCTATGCCGTCGACAAGCTCCTTGGTTGTCTGCAAAGGGGGGCAAATCCGCGAGGAGACGGGGAGAATCTCGATACACAGCACGCCAACGTCCTTTGGAATGCTCCAGAGCCACAGTAGATACGGGAGCATGCCGACGCCGACGCCGTGCATGAAGAGGATGGGACGCTTGGTCTCTGACGTGTGCGGGCGGCAAAAGTAGCTTAGCTTCGGGTCAGCAGACTCGTTGGGCGAGAAGAGGGTCATGGGCCGCCATGGAAAGACGGAGAAGAAGGTGTTGCGTGGTTGACGGTAAAATTTGAAGCCTCTGATGAAGAGGACGAGGGTTGCGAAGAAGTCGAGGGTGCCAGTGGTCTTTTGAACGTATTAGTATCCTACCCAGGCTCGTTGAGAAAGACGATCACTGCAATATCACTTACAAGGTAATACATTAGGCTCCGGTGGGTGATTGTAATGGCATCGAAACTGAGGCGCATTGGTGTTGCGTCTCCGAAGCCTCTCTTGATATTGACTCCAGCCCGCTCTTCGGTTTCCGCAATATACTCCTCGAGTTCCTCGTCATGCTCTTGCGGATTGCCTTGCTTGTCAAATAATGCCCACATCAACCAGTCTTTGACATTCTCCCTGCGAATATCACCGAGCTGGGCGTTGCAGTGCCATTTTCGAATATACTGCTCGACATCTGGCGCGTGATCCAATCCCTGGTAGAAGAACCGCCGCCGTTCTTCCTGATTCAGAGGCTCTGGCTGAAGGCCGGGTTTCTGTAGACGTCGGCGATACGGCACAAACCAGGCAAAGTAAAAGATGATTTCGATGGCACCAACGACTTCGATGAGGATGGATACGGGATGAGCGATACCGGGTACACCAGCGAGAGCGAATATGAACCAAAAGTAGAGGAAGCAGAGGAATCCGAGGTACTGGAAGTATATTACCATGGACCTCACCAGAATGAGCTCCGGAACCGACCTTCCCACAAGCATTTTTGGATTGGAGAATGCTGGACGGCGCGAGTGCCTAGTTGTGGATTTGAGAGCGCTCTTCGATCCGTCAGAGTCCCTTGGCGTTGACGACGTCTGGTAAAGCTAAGACAAGATGACTGGGCAGCGGCATGCCGCGATCTTAATACGATGGAGAGTTCGAATCGACAAGCTTGGGACCCACGTCAGAGATCTACGAAACGGCATGGGCCCGGCCTGCAACATGGATCTATCTGGCCGAGGGTGATTCCCTTTTGCTTTGTCTACGCTTGTGATTTGAACGGTACAACGGCCGCTGGTAAGGGCCACAAACATGCTCAAACCGAACAGAACTTTCCAGGTGGGTTCCTTGTTGTCCGGGCACTACCTTGGAGCCTTGGACTGTGCAAAGGCAGACTGCGAATGAAAGTTGGGTGATGGAATCGGACGAAACTCAAACCGAAGCGACATGGTGCCATCTCTCAACTGGCGGATTAGTCGTGCGGACTCTTCTGCGGGCTGAGTCCCCTCTCTTGGGTTGTAGTCAAGTGTCCAACGCTCCCATCAATGCCACGCCGAAACGTCACAGTCTGTGCTGTTAAGTTGGGTTGGGGAAGTGAGCTGCGAGATGCTGCAGGGACTTGCTTGTCTCGATGGTGGGTAGCAAAGTCGTTATAGATCAGGGAGTGATTGGTGAGCTCGAAGCCAATTGCCCGATTCAGTTCTGTACGATGCATTCGCGTGAGGGGAACGACGGGGGTTTGCTGGTCGAGTGTAAGTCGGGGACAGTAGTGGGACGTGGCAAGTCGGGTCGACATGTGCCATCTCGAGTCGTAGAGGTGTTGTATCGCGAAGACGAGCAGAACTTCATGATGCGTCAGATGTGCACGGATTCGAGAATACACTCTGGTAGTGAAAGTCAGAGTTGGTCAAGTGAGGTCAGTCAATTGGGGAGACGAGAGAGTGAATAGACGTAGGTTCGGATACGATGGTCTGTGTTGGTGAACTATGGCCGCTCTTTGGAAAGTGTGTCGACCACAGCAAACTTGAGAAGCTTCATATTGGGAGGCGCAGGGTTTCGGTGATGGAGACTGAGAGAGTGGAAGATGTCAGTAGAAGAGCAGTGGGAGCAATGGATGTTGACGATGGGATCCGAGTCGAGTTGTCCAGGGACTTCTCTCCAGCCGGATTTGGAATGCAAGTCGACCCGCTGCCTTCCCAACCAGGCGGCCCTGGCAATCCGCGTCCTAACTGCACTGAGACTAGCGTCAAGCCACTGGGGTTGAATCCCGTGCAAAGACCCACAGCTGTGATCCACTCTGAGGCCCATAATCCCGATAAGAGAGATTGTGGCTTGACCCACTTCCCCTATCAGAGCGTCCCGACTGGACGCCACCAGATCGAGCGGAGGAACATTCCAACCGTATTCCAGCCCTGTGGCCGTGTGGCCTCTTTTGGTGGCATGTCCTCACCCCAAAACAAGCATTATGATGGCTGGTCTCGATTCCTTCGACGCTGTCGCCTACCAACATGTAAGCCATACACGCATACACGGTGATTCGGCCTAACTATGCACTCTCGCGGCCCCGTGTGGCTTGCGGACTTTGCATCGCAATAGTGTCCTTCGAGAACCCCAAGCGGTATTCAGGCGGACTTCTGGTAGGATAAAAGGTGATGGACTTCTCGCTTTCCGAGTGGAATATGAAGACTTGGTCATCATTCTAAACCACTACTCTCAACTCTCACCAAATCAGTCCCACTTTCTGGGACAAAAAGAGTCTTCCTTTCATCTCCTGTCGATCCCAAACACCTCAGTGGAGCCCATCTACCAACAACCCCCCGGCCCCGATCCGCCATCCCGCACTCGGTCTCACCTCTCGCATCCGTACTCGGTTCCGTCCCGAGACCCCATCACCTAGGCGCTTTCACGGCACGTCACGGATCACCTGCCGATCATGTCCTCCACAAAGACCATCCTCTTCCTCGGAGCCACTGGCGGCTGCGGACTCTCAGCTCTACGCCGTTCCCTCGACGCCGGCTTCACATGCATCGCCCTGTGCCGCACCCCGTCCAAGCTGACCTCCGTCCTCCCGTCCGAAAAGTACCCCAACCTCCGCGTCGAACAAGGCAACGCCCACGACGCCGACGTGATTGCCCGATGCGTCATCTCGCCCCTTGACGCAACCCGCTTCGTCGATGCCGTCGTTTCCTCCATCGGCGCCTGGTTTGAGCTGCGCAAGATGAACCTCGAGGACGTCAACGTCTGCGAAAAGGGCATGACCGTCTTGCTCAACGCCATCAAGAAGCAGCGCACCGAAAAGGGCGTCTCTGGACGGCCGCGCGTCATCGGGCTCAGCAGCACTGGCATTTCCAAGTTTGGGAGAGACACGCCTCTTGTTGTTCAGCCTCTCTACAAGGGCCTTTTGCACACCCCGCACATGGACAAGAAAGCCATGGAAGAACTCCTCTTTGCGAGTGGTGAAGCCTGGACGGTGGTGCGTGCCAGCTTCCTGACCAACGGAAAGGAGCAGCCCGCAGGCACAGTCCGGGTGGGCGTCGAGGACCCCGTCAAAGGTGTTGAGGAACTGGCTATTGGGTACAGCATTGCCCGTGAAGATGTTGGCAAGTGGATGTATGAGAGCATCTTGCAAAAAGGCGGAGATGACAAATATGTTGCCAAAATTGCAACTGTCACCTACTAAACACCACTAGGCTGTTGCTTTTGCTTCGCTTCTTACCATGTTCTTGCTTGGCTTCACATGGACGTCTCCTTTCAATACCCTTATTTTGTATGCTCTACTCGTTTTCCAACTAGTTGTCGATTACGAATTATCTATAATATAATGTTTGGTACGCTTCCTGCTTCCAATCGTGAACTGATTCCGGCGTGAAAAAGGCCGGGGGCATGTTGCTGTTCGCTGGTTTCCAATCAGACTTTTCTCCTCTCCGTCCCGCTATAACATCATCTCCCTTAACCAGCGTGCCCTTCAACTTGAGTCATCTTCCAGGGGGCCCACGTTGCGCTTGAGAAAGTAAACGAGCTGGTCTATGCTGTCAGGCTCGGTGATCCAGTGGCCGCCATACTCGTACTCGTGCCATTCGACTTCTTTCAAGCCTATGTTGTGCAATGCCTTGCATAGGGCTCTTCCGTTCTTCACCGGAACCGTCGCGAGCGTGGGAAAGGAAAATTGGCGTGTGTGCCATCTGGTAGTTCACATCACCACACTTTATCTTCCACCCAGTATAATCGCTGGCAAAAAGACCTGCTGGGACTTCGTAGGGTGAAAGGCCTGGGTAGGCCCAGCCAGCGTAGCCGATAAGGCCACCCAAGGCTTGACAGCCTCTCAAGTAAGCCGCGACAGCTGTTGCGAATCCCTGGCTGATGCCGCCCAGGAAGATCTTGTCGGGTGACACCAGGTCGGATTCCTGGTCGATGAGGTGGGTGATGAAGTCGATACTCTCCAATAGGCCTGGTTCTTGCAATTCTTCTTGCTCGTTTGGGTTCTCTGTAGACCACATATCGAACCATTGGGTCCTGTCCGTTTTGGAACGTTTTGATGGAATCGACGGCGCGCTGGGGAAGATCCATTTGATGGTTGGGAACAGGGCTTGGAGGGTTCGAGGGGGTGGTGGCGCTGGTGTGTCGTCCAGGGGGTCTTCTGGTTGTTCAGGACCATCGTCTTGGAGGGCCAAGAGAGCCAGAATTCGTGCCAGGTCTTCCGAGACTTCGCATTCAAAGAACTCGTCTGCAAACTCCTCGCCGTTACTGCCTCTGCCATGGAGAAGGATGATGGTGTGCGTGTGCTCGTTGCCCGGGAGGGGTTCGAAATGGAAAACGTCCGTTGAGTATGTCATTGTACGAATAAATACGTTGGCAATAATACCGTTCAAATTGATGTTGACAGACTTGTGTATTCTGTATTCCTAACGAATAGGTAGCGTCGGGTGTGGTGAAGTTGCGGATAGTTTGGCTGGTGGTTGGCGGACTAGCGGCAAGTTACCCCCTAATTAATTGCCTGCCACTCCGTGCCTTCCTTCGCTAAAAACGCACCTACCTCGCTGTGCTTGACGGGCGCTTCTTGACGACCGTACCTTCAGGTACCTGATGCTGCGTACCTGCCTGATGAGACTCATCAGACTCAAGGTACCTTGCCATGTATCTTCGACATGGAGAGTTATCAAAAAAGGGGCTGTAAACACATCAATCGAGTATTCCAAGAGCAGGTATACTAACAGACACTGGGAAAGTGATATTCTGAATTGCCTTTTTTTTTTATTTTTTTTTTTATTTTTTTTTAAAGAAGTGATTGTCGAAAACAATCTCCCAGTCGCCTTTTGAGTTTATACAATAAACCCACAAACACGACCTTACCTTACGTAACCGAGACATGCGGTGTACTTTGCAAATCATCCAGACGCGACAATCCTACTCTCTCAACATCATCTGCGAATAACACCAATGGCTTGTTTCTTTGAAGCCATTGCAAAGCAGTCGGACGTCTTGTCATTTACGCAAGCGAACTCATAAGCACGTGGAATCGGCCAGTATGGTGTCGCTCGCGCCAGAGTTGTTGCGCATCATCGGACAATACCTTGCAAGTCAACATTTCGAACCTAAACACGGAGAACATCTTTTGGATGTGGTCTAACTACCAGTGCCCTATGGTACCAACAGACGACCAACAAAAAGACATTAAGGGCTTTGTGTCGCGTCAACAAGGCATTCCAAGATGCCTTCAGCGAGTTCCTGTACGCCGAGGTCTATCTGGGCTACAATCACTTTGTCAAGGACGACCCTCCACAGAAATGGCTTGTCAAGGAGTCCCCAGAAACCCGCCACATAAAAGTCATCCACTTCCGACCCAAAGGCTTCGAATTGAACAGCCGTGAGATGGAACTTGACGATCATGCTCGACGTTGCAACTCCCAGCTTAGACGACTATTGGCAAACACCCCAAATGTCGAGAGATTTATGTTCGTCACACCTTTAGCACTCAAGGTACTACCCTCAGCCCTGTAGGATTGCACGCTAACGGCCGTTTTTAGCTTGGAAGACGGAGAATTTTACCTCTCCTCCGCAACCTTAAAGGCTCTAAAGCACTGCTGCCCCAATTTGGAAGACATCTCCTTCGATTTAGAATCTCACCCACATCAGCCCGGCGCTGACAGATACTGTCGCGACGATGACTCTTGGCGAGACCCGGAGCCCTTCATGCCTGTTCCTGATGACTTGCAGTACAGCATTGCCGACTTCAACGTCTTTTCAGGCCTGACCGGACTTCACCTAACTGGGCTACAGGGGCATATCCCAAAGTGGATAGAAACCATAGCCTGTATCCTGGGTTCCTCCCCGAAGCTCACTGATCTAAGCCTTTCTCTTTCTCGACCAACGGCGGATAGCTTTGCTCATTTAGACGATCGTGATGAGCTTTACGACTTTCTCATGAATTTGGGAAATCGCTATGGACATCTTGGTCACCCTCCGCTCCGCCTCAAATCTCTCAAATTATACTACCCCGTCCTTCTTTGCGAAGACGAGGACGGCGGGTCTGACTATCTCGACAAACTAACCGACTTGAACCACTTGCAAGAATTCCGACTCTCCAACCAGAGTGCCATTATGCGAGGAAATAGCCCACCGGATGCCCCGGAGCTCGCATTCTACGCCATTGACCCGAGCACAATGCCGAACCTCCGTCAACTCACCATCGGGGCATGGGAAGCAGGCATAGGTCATTGCTTTGAAGAGCTAGACGAAGAATACGCAAGCCAACTCAGTGTCCGCGTGGACCCTCAAACATTCATCTTCGACCCGAATTACGAGGAAGGCATCCCTGATATGCTCGACAATGAGATGGTCCTGAGAGCTGAAGAGCTCATCATACCACAGACCTGGATTGAAAACGGCAAGGATGCACCTGACAACTGGGACATGTTCAAAGTCCTCGAGTCCTGCCGTTGGATCACCTCCATCGGCTTCACCATCGACACCACAGTCGCCCCGTACGGCCTGATTGACATCCTTGCGAAGATGAAGGGCTTGAAAAAGCTTTCGATAGAGTATCCCAAGTTCAAAACCAACAGAGGGCATGGGGGAGACCCCCTTCAAAGACTTAAGAAAGTGGAATACCTCAAACCTGAGATCGTCGCCGCAAAGTGCAAGCACTTGACCTACATGAGACTGCACGGCCATGGCATCAAGATATGGCGGCCGTCAGCGGGAACGGCAGAGTTCGAATATCTCGAAGACGAAGAGGATGCCCTTGTTGGCGCCTTCTTCCGCAAAGAGGCTCGGGAAGATAACGATTGGATCGCCGAAGCAATGGACAGCGACTACTTCGAGCCGCCGCGACCACTGTAGCGGGCTGAGCAAATTGTGAATCACTTCATGTCTGCTCGAAAGGAGGTCAATGACAAGTGATATAATCAACATCAATATACCGATCTTTGGCCAGCGTAACTGAAATTCACGTAGAGGCTTTCCTAGAGTTCTCTAGGTAGAGAGAAGCCTTGCTTGTATTTTATAACTTTCAGAATCTCTCAGCTTCTTTTACCAGCCAGCTTGTCCAAATATCTTACCAAGGTTGGATACCATCCTTGTTCACAACCTTGCCAACATCCGCATCCCGTTCACCCTCAACAACCTGTTGAATCAGCCTGCCACCCTGGCTCGGCGCACCCGCACCCATCTTCTTCAGCGCATCCGGATTTCCTCCCAACCCCGTAGCCAAGAAACCGGGTGAGATGCACCACACCTTGACTCCGTCTGCCTTGAGAAGCCAGTGCCAGTTCTGCATGACCATGTTCAGCGCGGTCTTACTAGATCGGTATCCGGCTTGAGGCGTGTACGGTTTAGGCCAGCCGGCAGCCGTTATGGTGCCTGGTTGGAACGGGAGCAGGCCGGCGCTTTCGATGCCGTTAAGAGTGGATAGTCCGCTGGTGATGAAGAGAAGGCGAGGGTCGGAGGATTTGATCAGAAGAGGGGCAAAGGCGTGGGTTACGACGTGTGTTCCGGATGTGTTGACGTCGTATGACTTGTTCATATTCTGGCGGATGGCTTTGATATCCTCGGGGTTGTAATTGTGAGGTCCAAAGTCGTGGGAGGCGCCTACATGTTGATTGTCAGTCTCATTATTGGGTAGTGATGGTATTGTGTCCTGGCTGAAGACTTACCGGCGTTGTTGACCAAGACATCGAGGAGCCCGTGCTTCTCTTTCACAGTCTTGAAAGCACTAATGATTGAATCATCATCGGCTACATCCACTTGGATGACCTCCAAAGAGCTTTTGGTAGATGGGAATTCCTTTGTGAGTTCAGCAAGGGCAGTTTCGCCTTTTTCGAGGGACCTTGATCCAATAATGATATGGTATGTCCTGTCGGATTGCAGCAGGATCTTGACTGTTTCGTAGCCGATGCCAGTGTTGGCTCCGGTGATGAGAATGATACGCTTGGAAGACATGGCGGACTACTTTAGACGACTTAGTTTATTGGTATAATGGGATTGAATGTAGAACAATAAGGTAGTGTCTTCAAAACAGTCGACTTCCAGCCCTTTTATTCCTCCGCATCACAGCATGTTCCTAGCCTGAGACAGCTTCAGCCCTAGCCAGCGCGCCCGGGTTTAAGCTTGACGGGGGGTTCTATACGACAGAGGGCTAGATTGCGGGGAAATCATACGAAAAAAAAAAGCGCCAACAATCCCTTGGATTCTTTTACAGCAGAGTATATAAACGCGAAGTCGCGACGACATAAATCTTCACGCCGATAAGCTTTAACTGCGTCCTCCGGCCCGGCGTGAGTGGATCTTACGTTGCCCGGAGCCGGGGGGTCCCGATCTGGACATCTTTAACCCCGTTGGAGTCCTCAATGAGGGGTCTTGCATGAGATGAGGTTGAGCACCTTGAGCACTAACAGAACTTAGCTGCGAACGCTAAGAACCGCGATAACCTTCTCTCTTTGGAAGACATAACGGATTGTTCTGCTCAATGTCCCGCCGGCATTCTACGGACCCCACCCCGACGGCAGACTAAAGGACTCGGTAAGCCATCCCGAAAGCTGCTGAATGACGTGAGTCAGTGCTGAAGTCGCCTAATGCCCCCAAGCTGTCCATCTCGAATTTGAGTACGGCGTACGGAGTATCTACCTTATCTGAAATCGAAGTATCATTGACGAAAGAAACAAAGAAACAGCCATTCTTCTCTCCAGTTTAACGACGGGAATAACAAACATAACATACCTTAAACATGGCACCGAAATCCGTTCTCCTTGTCGGCGCCAATGGTACGCTAGGCGCCAAAATCCTGGACTCCCTGGTGGCCGCCAAATCCTTCAAGGTCAGCGCCCTGAAGCGCGCCAGCTCCAAGAGCACCATCGCGTACCCCGCAGACCAAGTCCAAGTCGTCGAAGTCGACAACGACCTCTCCTACGAGGGTCTCAAAAAGGCCTTTGCGGGCCAAGAAGTCGTCATTGTCAGCTTCCGCCTGCGCGATCTCGACCAGCACCTGCGCATCGCCGAGGCGGCGTCCGCGGCGGGCGTGAAGCACTTTATGCCCGCCGACTTCGGCAGCATCGACGCCGATAACCCCCGCGCGAGGGAGCTCATTCCGCTGTACCGCTGGAAGCGCGCCGTGCGTCAAAAGGCGCAGGAACTGGCAGACAAGAACCCGGATTTCGCGTGGACGGGCATCGTCTGCGGGCACTTTTTCGATTGGGGTGTCAAGGAGGGCTTCTTGCACGCGTACCTCGACACCAAGAAGATCGATGTCATTGACGGCGGTAACATCAAGGCCTCTGTTGCGACATTGCCGAGGGTCGGCGAGGCCGTTGTGCGTATTCTCAACTTGGGTGTTACCGAGTCGACGAAGAATAAGACGCTTTTCATTCAGAGCTTTTGCATCACGCAGAACGAGCTGCTTCAGAGCTTGGAGAAGGCCACGGGGGCAAAGTGGACTGTCAACAAGGTTGAGTCTGAGAGCTTCATCACGGAACACAAGGTCAAGGCCGATGCGGGTGACGCTGAGGCGATCGAGGACCTTGTCTTCGCTGTTGGGCAATTAGATGCAAACTGGACGAAGCGAGATGACTTTGCCATGGAGGCTTTGGGGCTGGAGGATGAGGATTTGGATACTGTGATAGCAGATATTGTCGCTAACCCAG